TTCACCTTTCTAATATTACAGAGGTCAATTGCCTTGCTCAAACCTGTCATCCCATTTCCTTAAAGGAAAGGACAATTCTGGCTTCTCTACCCTCCCTACTCACTAATTCTCAAGGACGTAACAATAAATATGCAATCTGATTGGTAGGAGACTACCAGTCCTTGGGTCACATTTCCCGGTGGGTAGAGTTCACAGATAACAGGTCACTGCACACACAAGACACACACTCTTTTGTCTGAGACCTGCCTGTACTCAGGGACTTCACATATCTCCATTCTCCAAGAGGTAAGTAACCAGTGTCTGCCCACTGCCTCTCCGCTTTTCAGCCTGAGACTGGGTGGATGTGTCAGGCAAGGCTCCCTTGCAGACCCTATAGCCTGTATTTCCAGGTGAAAAGGGAGTAGGAAAACCAACTTGACCACATATCCAAAACTCATCCTCCACTATTGCTATTATTTGAAACTCTGTGTTAGGAAGAGTTCCTGGGAATTTGCCCAGATCAGTAAAGCCAATACTTTACATTTGTCTGTCTGTCCTGTGTAATCTCAGGTGGAAAGGAGGGATAAGATTCAGTCTCTCCCAGCTAATGCGGATGTACTGATTGGCACCTTGAGTATAAAGACTCAACTAACTTAACTGCCACAAAGCACCATGGGGGACGATGGGGACTCTAAGTCTCCCAGCTGGAATGCAGGAACAGATGAGGCAGGTATGTAATTATCAGGAAAACTTCACAAATCAGGCAAGGCTTTAACGCACAGGCTTCTTAAGCATGAGCAGATAGAATTCTTTTACTTTAGCTATGACTTTTTTGGGGGGGGGAGGGCCTTTCTTTTTTGTCATGTCTCTGCCTTCAAGGGTCTTTAAATTGCCCAGAAGTAACTAAGATCTTTATGGTTAGAGCAGTGCTACTCAAAATGTGAACCTGCAGTATCAACAAGCCCTGGGAGCTTGCTAGAAATGAAAATTTGGGGTCCCCACCCCAGACCTACTGAATCAGCCCTCTGGGATGGAGCTAAGCACCCCAGGTAATAATTAAGTTTGCTGAAGTTTGAGACGCACAAAGAAAGTATTAGTGGGAGATTTTTCAGAGATTTTAGAGAGCATTTTAAAGAGCTGGACAGTACTAGATTAGCTGTCCAAAATTCTGTTCCTCTTTATCTTGTTTGGAACTTCATTTGGGGCTAAGGAGAGAACTGTGAAGACTGGATCCATGATTTCTCCATAGTCCCAGAATCTATGCCAGAACCATAGGCTTTTTAATGGCTTTGGATTATTTGTTTCACAGAAACACAAATTGGGGATTCTATGGCAGGGATTCTTCTTGGGTTGAAGGAGAAAAAAATAATTCCAGTGGAATTATTACAAACTCAAATGCTAAGGAATAATAAAAAGTATAGGCCTAGAACTCTCTAAGAAATGAGATGTACTCAGTCTCTGAAAAAGGAATGAAATCAGTTTACAAAACAGGTTTTGATCTTACAGATAGGACAATATAAGGAGAGAATGAAATAAAGTGAAGGAAATTACACTAAGGAGGAGAAAAAAAATTGAAATCATATTGGGCAGCTAAAAAATTATGACATGGAAAAAGAGACATATCCCAACTTAACTGCTCTAAAGAGACTAGAAAAGACAAGAATATTTACTAGATCAGGAAAAGTGGTTCAGAATCATCAAAGAGAAGAATAAAGGGGCTATTTTGGAGAATAGACCAAAATGACCTCCCCCCACAAAGGGTGCCCAAGATTCAGGTATTATTTTATTGTGAAGATCATCTTAAACTTTTACATAGGGGAGCCAGAACAAGTATTAATGGGGAATTCCTCCTGGATAACTGGAACTGTGATATTATGTAGTTACAGAAAATGTGAACATATTTAAAAAGAAAAAGACTAGAAAGATCAGTGTAGAATTCTTCAAGCTTTGCTAAGTTTCAAGGTGGCATTGTTTTTGTAGAAGGGACAACAGTTATTGTACAGGCCATGAGGATGCCTGACTGGGAAATGTAGGGAGTTAAGACTTGAAAAGAAGGGGGGTCGCATCCCCATACTGGCCAGGGGCCAAAAAAAACAAAACTTGAAAAGAAGGAACAGAAAAGCAGAAGGGAGTAACAATTGATCACGGATAACAGTGAGGATAACAATTGATCAAGCCCAGGGCTGGGCTAAAGGCTGAACAAAACAGAAATAAATACCTTCCAATATAAGCAAGAGTGGGCAGAATTTATTTGAATATTAAATGTTTGTGGCAGATCCAGAACTCTCTGGCATCACTATCTCTCTCTCTATGGAGACCTCACTGGCAGATTCCAAAGTAATATGTTAGGAGAACAAACAGAAATAACTTAGATAGAAGGAGAGGCTTAAAGCCCAGCTGGACCTGCTGGACGCAGGCATACTCAGAGGCAACTGGAACTCCGGAGGCTTATCTCTCCAATGCAGAAAAGGAAACGGTGGCAGGAAGAAATGTTTCCGTTTCTATCAAAAAAGCACAGGCAGTGTATGTCTTAAAAATTCGATTCCAAGGAAAAGTGGGGCATGGGTAAAAAGCAACTAACGCAGGGGATTTCCTGGACTTCATTAGACCAGTGAAAACACAGGTTCCAGAAACTCCACAGCAGCTCAAGGATCAGCTGAGGGTAATCCTCTATGGAAAACAAAAGTGAAATCTCCTAGCCAGAAGCAGGACTCAGAGGCAGACACTCAGTAATGGGAGCATATGGAGCTCAGAAATAACACAATTCTCAGGATCTTTCTGGGGATAGAGAAATTTGGAGAAAAGAGCAGGAAATTGGGGCTGTGACAGAGGCATGCAAGACAATGCATTTCACTTGAAGAGCTTCCTACCATAAATGTGGGGTACCCTGCCCAAAAAGAAAGGAGCCTCTTCCACTAAACAGAAAAAGATCTTCAGCAATAGCAGAAGGTGGGTAGAAATAAGGCTCACTGGAGAAATGAAAATAAGAAGGTTCTAAATATGTGGAATGAGCATCAGGAAAGACCTGGGGCCACCTTGCAAATTTCTATAATTTTCAGGGAGAGGGGATCCCCCTCAAACATATGGGAAGCACAGCATCAAAACAAATCCAACTAGGCCGGCCCGGTGGCGCACTGTGCTAGTGCGCCGCTTGGGAAGCGTGGCGGCACTCCCGCCGAGGGTTCGGATCCCACATACAGACCGACTCCCGCTCACTGGCTGAGCGAGGCGCGGGAGCAACACCGAGGGTTGCGATCCCGTTGCCGGTCCCGGTCCGGTAGGGGGCGACACTGGGGGTTGTGATCCGTTGCCGGACACGGAAAAAGACAAAAAAAAAAAAAAAAAAAACAAATCCAGCTAATCTCATGAGAAGAGATTTCCCAAACTAAGTTTAAAGTGACAGGTGGTGGACTGCAGACCGCTTGGTAACCTATAAAAGTTGACATATGACATAGTAGATCATAGTTACTACTAGTGATTTAGGGTCCACACAGCAAAGGAGAAGGTAAAAACAGACTTCTTTCTGAACTTGACACCATGGGCCCCTCATTCTACTCAAGCTAGAGTTTAGACCTCATCTCCTACCACTGTCCCTCACTCACTCTGCTCCAGCCGTACAGGCTTCCTTGATGTTCCTAGAACATGCCAAGGACATATCTGACTCACAGCCTGGGCACTTGTCACTTCCCCTGTTCACAGAAGGAGTAACATCTATTATAAAATGAGATTTCTCACGAAAAAAGACAAAAAGGAAAAAAAAATAAAAAATAAAATAAATAAATAAATAAAATGAGATTTCTAGGATGCAATGGCTGGAACACACTCCATTTCAGTAAGATCACTCTGTCTGAGACTCAGCAGAGAAGACATTGAGGAGGAAAGAATTTGGGACTTTAATGCCTTTATAGTTGAATTTACAAAGGGAGGTAGATTTTATTTTTAGGCTTTAGTTTCCCTGAGAATTTAATAATTGGAGGGAATTGCCAGCTAGCCACAACAATAATAATAACTTTAATGATGATGATGATGATGATGATGATTGGAGAGAATTCATATTCAAATTGTGAGCATTATTATTCATCTGGAAATGTATTTGGGGGTTAGGGTTATGATGTCATGAGGTGCTCATTGTGCAACCTGTCTGATACAGACAGGACAAAGAGGCCAGGCACAACCTGAGCTGGAAAATAGAATAAAAAGTGCAATTTCGGCCTCACGTGCTTTATGGTTCTCATTAGTATCTGATGCATTTCAGATCTTCTAAGTGCAAAGGCCAAACTACCCACCCCTGACCCACAACGAGCAGCAGTCAATATCAGAGAGAGGCCTCAGGGAGGTAGGAGCAGGACTACACTATTCTGCTATTTTCCTTCAAAGGCACAGACCCTTCTGGTTGCCCCTAAATTTGTCTGCTGCTCCCAAAGGATTAAGGAACAAAAGAAATTGTAGAGACTCTGCACTCCTTCCCACCAGGGGGAGCTGTGGAGTTAACAGAGCTGGCTTCTACCAGGCTTCCTCAAAAGCCACAAGGGAAGAGTTTCTAAGGAGCTTGCCCTTCACTAGGCCACTGTTCTCTACGTCGAGGTCATGGGCTTATATGTGGCCCAATCATTAGGCCTCTTTGTCCTGCCAATGCCTGACACAGTGGGGTGAACCTCCCAGGAGTTGATTCTAGTTGTCCACAATGAATACTCTTGGGGCTCAGTCATCATAAATTTGAGGTGAGAAATAAAACACCTTACAGAATTCTCACTCTAGCATTACCAGAAAGTTCTGAATAAAGCAGACCACTCTAGATCTGTACCCTCTATGAGCAGAACCCTGTGGGGAAGGAAATAAGCGGTAAGATTCAGGCATCCTGAACCCCAGACAAAGCTGGTAGTTAGGTAAAATAAGAATCCAAGTCTCCAGACTTCCAGACTAGCACTCTTTGTACCCCACCCCCCACCCCCACATTTTACAGTTCAATTCACATATTTAACTCATCCTGAGGTACAAAACAGAAAGACCTGTACACTTACCTGCTGGTGCAGTTGTTATGGTTACTTCTACTGAGTGCTGCCCAGGAGATCCCAGTTGAGTGACATTCACTGTATAATCAGTCATCGGATACAGATCCAAACACACTACCGGAGTTCGTTCCCTCGTTGTGAGGTTAAATGATATTACATGATAAAAGTTATCCAGATACCACCTTTGACCCAGAACTTTAAACTGTCATGAGATTAAAAGAAAGTTTGCATTAAGTTTTCTGTTGGCTTGCAGATGTCTAGACTATAAGCAAAATGGAGATAAAGCAAGAACGTTCCTTCTCTTTAGCCTCACTCACTTAGAATTATTTTTAATACAATAGCAATCTAAATTGGAGAAGGATTTTACAAAGCTACCTATTCAACTTCACTCTCAACCAGGTATAGGACTAAGCTTAAAATGCATAACTACATCTCAGATGAATAAAATGTCAGGCTATTCTAATGTAATCCCTGCATGCCCACCCAAGTGAAAGAGATTACACTGGAGCTGCTGGGCAAAATTATTTTAATTTATTTTCATTGTAAGGAATCCATAGACAAACCTCAGAGAACAGAGTACTTAAACTTGATGAGAACTGCTCCAGATGATGCGTTTAAGCAACCATTCAATGGCACTTCACGTGATCCTTCCTATTAGAACTCTGGTAAAAAGAGCTTCTGTCGTCACACATACTGTTAACCCAACCATATTCTACTCATTGCCAACTCAAGCAGCAGGTATAGGGAGTTATAGGGAAAAAATTTTTATGAAGTTCCCAGAATTCATATGATCAACCCTTGATCAATCAGTTCACTTTAGATGGAGGAGACACCCATGTGTTTAGGGTTTCCATTGATGCCCGTGTCAAGACTGAACCACCTTCCATCCCTTCTCATCAGTGTCAATCACTGACTCTTGCCCCTCAATCTTCCACAGTCATCCAAGACCTTGACACCTGATTCATAAGGATTCATCTCTCCTCCAAATCCTTGCATTCTCTTGAATAACTTAAAGGTCTTTATAGATCAAAACTTGGCTTTGGAGTTGCTTGAGCTCAATGCTATGAGCTTCCTCCACTTCGCTTCAGTCACCCGTATCCATGGCCACACCCTAGACTGTGTCATCATCACAGCTGCTCCCCCAAGATCTCTCAGTCCCCTACTCTTTTGGAGCACTTAGTAGTGAGACATAACACGCGTTCATGCAAAGCATGTGGGCAACATGTATATTCTCTTTTGCAAATTGCTTTTGAATGTTCACTATTTTCCAATGGATTAAGAGTGTTTCACATGTTACATAAATTCATCTTTGTCTGACATATAAAAAATAGCAACTTTTTTTCAATTTTACTCTTTGGTCATTTTACTGTAGGGTGTGAAGTTAGAATCATTTATTTTCTTAACCGAGTAGTCAACCACCTGTCCCAAACCATTTATGGAATAAACCTTCCTTTCTCTATTGATTTGAAAAATCATTTTTATCATATATTAAATTATTTGGGTACTTGAATATGTTTCTAGCCCCAGTGTTCTTTCTAATGTGGAAATTTGAATGTTTCACTTGCTTGCTTAAAATCCTTCAGCGGCTCCACATAGACGTCAAAATAAAATCCAAAATGAAAAGCATAGCATACAGGGTTTCTCATGATCTGGCCATCACTTAGATTTTTGCCTCATCTCTTCCTATTCACCTTTGCTTACTCTGTTACCCAATACACTACTCTACTTCCCCACGATGCCCTTCCTTACTCTCACCCCAGCTCTTTCACCTGGCTAATTCATACTCATTTTCTATGATTGGAGCATAGTCTTGGCTTCTTGTTAAAAAACTGTACCTGGACATACACACAGACACACACACACATATCTACACAAAATATCCCATTCGTTATTATTTACATTTTATCAATGCACTCATTATACCATATTGTAATTGTCTGTTTACTTGTATGTTTCTGTTAGTTTGAATTCAAACTTCCAGGTGTTAACACATGATATTCTTTTGGTAAATGGTTATTGAATGAATGAATTTATTTATTTTAACATTTACTGAGTCTACTCTCTGCCAGATGATTTGCTAAGCACTAAAAAATAAATTTCAGTTCCTGCCTGAATATACTTATAATTTTACTTGTGATGTTCAAAAAAATCAAGTTAAGTGAGGGCCAATAGCCATGCAATAAGTTTCTTACAAATCCACACCCAAATGTGAATTTGATGGCAAAATAAACTGTAATTACTAAACTAAATGCACTAAAATAAAATATGTGTGAAATACTAGGCAGGGAAAACAATAGCAAGTCACCGAATATTGTATCTTTCTTCAATTTGTCCTTCACTTACATCCATCTCATATCTTACATCCACCTTTAAAAATAATAATCGCAAACTCTCTAGAAGTTCATTCCATTTGTAGTTTTTAAATAATTTGGATCCTGGGGCCGGCCCGGTGGTGCACTGCTACAGTGCGCCGCTTGAGAGCATGGCAGCACTCCCACCGAGGGTTCGGATCCCACATACAGACCGGCCGCACACTGGCTGAGCGAGGTGCGGGTGCAACACCGAGGGTTGCGATCCCGTTGCCAGTCCCGGTCCGGTACGGGCGCGACACTGAGGGTTGCGATCCGTTGCCGGTCACGAAAAAAGACAAAAGGAAAAATAAATAAATAAATAAATAAATAATTTGGATCCTAACTTGGAGATCACCCAAATTTTTAAGACACAATTCTCGGACAGATAGTGTAAAAGATCTTCTTACTTGGTACATTTGTTCTGATCCAACTTTCATTGAATGCCTGTTCAATTTCACACAAGTTTCATTAAATATTGAAATATTGAAAATTCCATCATCTTCAAAGAGGTCATCTCCTAAAAGACAAGACAGAACATATAGAGAGGCTGCATCATCTTAGCAAAACATATCATTGCTAAGTACAAGTGAAACCCTGACACCGTAAGAGGGCCAGTAAGGTGTCAAACAGGAAAAGGATTAAATTTGGCATTGGTCTCGGTTGATCATTACATATTGTATACGTGTATCAAAAAATCATATAAATATGTACAATTGTTATGTATCAATTTTTTTAATTGGCTGAGGTGGGCAGGCTTAACTTCAAGTCCAGGCTCTACAACTTCTAATTGTGTGACTTTAGCTAGGTCACTGAACCCTTCTGAACCTCAGTTTCCTTATTTGTGATATCAGGTAATCCAACTTGCTTTTCTTACCTCACAGGCTATTTCAAATGTATTTTTAATAAGGGAAAAGGTGGGGCCGGCCCATGGCTCACTCGGGAGAGTGTGGTGCTGATAACACCAAGGCCCCGGGTTTGGATCCCAGTTAGCTCACTGGGTGAGTGTGGTGCTAACAACACCAAGTCAAGGGTTAAGATCCCCGGGGCCGGCCCGGTGGCGCACTGGATAGTGCACCGCTTGGGAAGCGCGGCAGCGCTCCCG